ATTTTCGAAAAAGTAAGTTTTGATCCCTATAATTTTCGGATCACTAGACTTTCAGCTAGGAAATCCGAACAGATGAAAATATTTTGGGGATAAAAATATGCCTATAGCTACCGTTTAAATACTAAAATACGTTCAACAATGCTGTGTTTAAGTGGTTTTGAACTATATTCTCGTTGGGTGCCCCTGACTAATAACGCCCTCCCTACATTTCACCACTTACAGCCCCCACTTTCCCTTTGTAACAACTCGGTACCACTCGTTCAAGTTGCACCACCTGAAATTGCACTTCACGTCTTAAAGAAACAGTACACGTTCCCATTGGTCACAACCAGCCATTACTTTCTGAGCGGGCAACATTGCAAATAGCCTCCCCGCAGACGTCCTTTGGGGTTCGCTTGTCACGTATTCAAACGAACCCAAAAGGACGTCTGCGGGAAGGCTACATTACAGATCTATGACGTCAGATGGTAACTGAGAAGTAGGGGGGAGGGGCACGGGGGGGGTCAAAATACGCATTTGTGACTCCCCCTCTACTACTACTACTGCGTCCTGTTACCCGCGAAAGGCACCGCTGGTAGCTGATATCTACCTTTATAAATTTGAAGACGTAGAAGTAGGCTTTATAACAAAACATTCAATGACGGGTCCCTCGGTAAACAAGTTAAAATTATTATATTGTTTCTCTTGAATCTCGCGGTCTTTCGTGGCTCTTGATTTTCAACTGGCGTACATTAGACTTAATGTTTTTTTTTTTTATGCCGATATCTAAGTTATACATTACCTTACTTTTTACTGATTTCAGCTCCACGGCAGACTATGTCCCTGTGACTGAACCATCCCTTAGCTAGAGGAAGAATGGTGATTGCATGGACTAGATTTTTTATCGACTGACTGCAAGCCCGTTGTTTGTTATAACGTGAAGCAAAGTAGATTGGTGACAACAACTGAGCATCTGAAAGCTTCAGGGTTTTCTGATATTGAGACATACGTCTTAATTATGAGAGTTTGTCGCCCAAAACTGCATAAATTATTAATTATTTGGAGCAGGATGTCTGAAGGGGAAAACTTAATTTAATTCTAAAGAAGACAATCTTACAATGGCTAAACGAAAATAAAGATTAGCTTAAAATTAATGAGTGAATAGAAAATACAACGAATTTCTAGCGTAAATGCTTACAGAATGCCGACACTTACAAAAAAATAAGACTGTGAGATGACATGCAGCGATCCAGTCGGAAATGAAGCGATGGACAAAACGAATATTTAAAACTTTTGAACAGGTGATCTTAAGATGACAGTAAAAACGCGGCAACTATGCCGGCAGGGAACTCTGACTAACGAGCAAAACAGGCCTTTTTAAAAGCGTTTTCTCGTTTTTTGTGAGGACAATAATACACTTATATTTTCATACTAAGTATAACATTTTAACATTGATGAGCATACACTTTAAAAAGCATTAGTTCGACGATGCTCCACTGACAAAAGTCAGAAAAGCCGCCATGCTAAGTGCGCCGTTTTTGTAGTTCACTTTGAATGTCAAGTAGAGGAAGGTCAAAACTATGCCAAGAGGAAAATTTGTGTGAATTTTGTTTCCTAAAAAGTGGGCGAATTTATGCATGCCAGGGGGCATGCTGTCTTCAATTTAACATCAGTAAAAACATTGCCCTGCCCAGTAATTATTTTTGCTCGAAAAACGACTGTGGTCAATACAACGAGGCGCTACACAATACACGCAACAAAGCCGAACAAAAGTTGAAATTTCATAGTGACAGTTTAAAGTACGTCATTTTTGAGCTTTTATATGAGTTTTTTTAGTGATATGGACCAACAATTATTGCCAGACGCAATTTATGTTATCAAATGCTTTATACCAAGAGTAGCTCATTCTCTCTTGTTTATACATTCAACTAGAAAATTCTAGATCTATAGATTAAAAACATCATCCGTACAAGGTCACAGCATTGTGATATAAACTAAAATGAGTTTCACCTGCTTGCCTGCGCCCCGCCTTTTGATGACTTTTTTGTGGTGGAGATATTTCTGACATTTCTGAGGTATAAATAGGGATGTAGCCTATAATGCTCGCAAAAGATTACTGTAAATCAAGTTTATCATTGACCAAAAATAACGAACTAAACTCAATTAACGAGACAATGTTAAAAAAGAGCGCAAAAAGACAAGTATTGTTTTCAAAACCTTGTGACATCCCAGCCAAAAGTCTGCAACGGCTAACTGCTGTTCTAAGGCCTATAAAACGTAAGCGCGGTTACTGAACGGATGGGAAACGCGGACAAGCCGTTTAAATCGTTGTTCTAAACGGTTGGCGGAAGGCGAAGGCCGGGCGGGATGGGAAGGAGGTGGGGTGGGGTGGGGTGGGGTGGGGTGGGCGCTTATCAACTTTTTCTGCCTTTAGGATGGGCGCTTATTTGAGGTGGGCGCTAATTCAAAATCGAGGTTGGGCGTTTATTCGAATAAATACAGTAACTAAAGAGGCCAACATGCACATAAATAATGTTTAACGAACAAGCATCGATCCAATCGCACAATGTGAGCGCTTTTTAGGGGCTGGTCGTTGATTACCTGTGACTGAGGGGTGGGAGATTTCGTCCTAGCTTTTTAGAAATGACCCCCCACCTATAATTTGCACACATTGTGAAAGTGAGTCCTCCACCCGATTGCTGTGGGAACTACGAATACTCTAGCTACAAATAGAGCCGAAGTTCACCGTATACTTCTAGTCTGCAGTCGTGTTTGTAAGTTCAGCGTTTACTATTCACAGCTCTCACATTCAGTGTTTTAAGCTATTTCGTTACTGCTTTGTAATACTTTCATGAAATTACCCCGGAGGTAACGCTTCCCTTTCTGAAACTTACCCCCCAAAGCCAATAAAGATTTTGAAAATGACCTCCCCCCCCCCCCCCCCCCCCCAACAAAAACGATAAAAAATAACAAACAAAACTTGTTTTTAATAAAAAAAGATCGACCCCCCCCCCTGCGTTGGGGGGTAGAAAAAAAAAAAATTATTATAATTTTTTTTTTTTTTTATTTTTTTTGATTGACAGGATGAGGGTAGATTATTTATAAATGATAATAATGTAGTCATTTGTTTATTTTAATTCGGGGTTTTCACTTTCCCAGCCTCCACATTGTTGTTTTTAATCTCTTTTCTTCTGCCCTTTCAATCTTTCTCAAAATTTCCCCCCGGGTTACCCTTCCCCTTCTGAAACCTTCCCCCCAAAACCAAAAAAAATTTTTAAAAAGACCCCCCCCCCCCCCCCACCCAAACAAATGGTGTATGTAAGATATGACACACTGATGTTTGTAAGATATGAACGGACTGACCCCTCTCTGGGTAGGTTGGAATACAAACAAACATGTTTTGTCAACGTCTTTGCTTGTGAAATGTTGCCAACATGTCAGGTGAAAGTTTAAATTGCCCTAAAATTCGCGAATTTGTCAATGTTTTCCCTAAAATTCCTGAGATTTTCTTCTTGATGTCTAAAATTCCCCCCAAAATTCTGGAATTATGTAGCTTAGCCTATGGCAAGACCAATCAGAAGTACTACCCAGTCTACTCAGATCTGGATTCGGATGGTGATTCGTGATCAGTATAGAATTTCTGCGCTCGTTCCTGTGGCGTCCCGAAATGTCGACCGTTTTCTCAGGCAAAGGACTAAGTTGAGAGATGACTGGGCAGTATGTAGATTTCTGTTTAAAAATCACCAAGGAGGCGCCTCGTTCCCAGTCGTCCTTGGCGATTTCGGATGTGACGTCACCTATCAAGCTTGTCGGGAAAATTCGGTTCCAAGCCCCCTCTGGTGACTCGGATAGCGCGAGCTGGCCTGGATACGAGGCTGAACGCGGCGGTGACCAGTGAACATGGTCCTTCGAGCAGTTCGACCAGTTTGCAGCACAGTACAGTGCCTTTCGAACTAATTGTAAACTGAAGCTCTGTAACTGTTGCCGTTATGTTTTTCCCTCATGTCGCACTTGTCTCGAATCTAGACTTGCAACTTTTTTACAACGACCTGATTCACCTGTAATGAGAAAATTCAAATAAGAGACTTGCAAAACGTTTCTTCATCCACGAAAAAAAGGCGTAAAAACAGTCTGCAGGTTAAAGCACTGACAAGGTTATGTAATAATCATTTGAATTATGATCTTTTATTTTACAGAATACTTGACATTCTTGAGTTCCCGGCAATCGGTTCCGGAAGAATGGTCAGTTATGGTTTATGCCAGTCAAACTTGTCTTATAAAAATTTAGGGGAAGAAATTGTTTTTTCAGACGTTAAATCTAATTTTAACTATCAACCTGACGGCCAAGGTGATGCTGATTCTGAGCGAAAGACAAACGACAGCTAAAGTTGTCAAATTTCATCATTTTCCAAAAATTTAACGTGCTCGCATTTGACAGCTATTAATTGAATTGCTGCTTAATTTTGGTTTTAAGTGGAAACATTCGGTAGTTCTCAGCTGCCATATCCGGCATTAGTGGTTATCAGTTCACAAGAGTTATGACATGTTATTTCAATCTTATTACATTCACTGATTTTGTCAGCTTGAGATCACATATCATACATGGAATGACACTTTTAGGGTATTAAATACGCTGAGTTGTCCTCATTAATCATTTTTTGCCATATGTGGCTGGGCAGTGGCCCAATTTAACCATCGTTAAACGAGTAAATGCAATTGGACTTTTCCGAAAGAACACGAAACATAAGAAAATAACAAAAGCAAGACTACAATCGCAATAATTGATGTCGAAATCAAGTAAAAGTGAGGCTATTCATTCCCAGGATTCTATTAACCGCTTGGTTAAAATCGCTAGATTTTTCCCGTGATCATTTTAAAACAGCTCCGAGTATTAACTGATACGGTGTCGCTTTTTTTTCCAGGTCGTGAGAAACACAACACTTCTTCTTGAATTCGACGCAGGACGAAATTAGTTGAAGTCAAAGGTACAACGAAACAAACTGAAAGTCGTGAATGGAAACATGACTGATGTATATGTCCCACCAAGAAGTACAGTACTGTTAGTGGTCGAATCCGTGGCGTCCATAGCGCTTGTTATCCTTGCGATAATTGGCAACTTTCTCATCCTTGCTGCACTTTATCGTAACCCGCATCTTCGCAACTCTACAAATATTTACATCGCGGCACTAGCGGTCACCGATCTCTTGAATGCTTGTATCCCTGGAACTCTGTTTGCCAGCACCATGGTCATGGGAAGATTTACGTTCAGTTTAACCGCATGTCGCCTTAGCGGCTTCCTCGTGCACTTTCTGACTTATGTCTCCATGGCGACGATGACGTTAACCGCAGTGAACAGGTATTCTTTAGATAGTCTGTAGCAGTGAGGGCGAAGGATCGTGGGATAGGTTTGAGAGAACAGTTCAACTGAGTTATCTTAGGGTCACACTTCTCCCCGAACGTTGAGTTTACATTCAGTAAAGTTGTGCCTAGAGACACACCTAACAGTTAAAAATATATCTGTGCTCTGAGACGAGTGGGTGAGGCCGTTCTCGAAAGACTTAATTTCCATCAAACGACCACACAATCAGATTTTCCAGCCCTGTTCAAAAGAAGGCATAAAAAATCCCACCCCTAATTCAGTAGCTATGAGCCTGACCAGTTTTTAAAGTTAATTGTCCTGACCGCAACAGTTTTTAGAGTTTAAACAGCAGACGTTTAGAGAGGGCTAACCCTTAACTCTGACGAAAGGATATGCTATTTTGTACCAATGTGATCTCTATACTCGGTCTCTGCCCTATCTCAGACTGAAGATAGAATTGAACGCCCGTTGCTACCCTTCACGACGGCATATAGCTATAAAGCCCTTATAGGACAGTACCCCAACCCACAGGTGAAATCACTAACAACTCTTCATTTGTTTCAGGTACGTTCGAGTTGTCAAGCCGCAACATTATAAGAAAATGTTCAACCACAGACATTCCTTGCTTATGCTGGGTGGTCTGTGGCTTCTTATCGCATTGTTGAGTCTGTCTCCTAAAGTCGTTGGTGTTGGAGAATTCAACTTCGATCCTGCCAAGTCGATTTGCGCCTATACTTTTAAAAGCCAAGGGGTGGAGATAGGCCTTACGCTAGTTATCGTGTTAATTCTAGTGATCTTTTGCTTGTCGCTTGTATGCTTTTGTTATTACCATGTTTCCAAAACGATCCGTGAACATAACGCCGGGATTTTAACGTCTTTGAGTGATGTGAGTGTTCAAGAGATTAATCTGTCCAAAGTACTATTCATTTTGGTGTTTGCTTTCGCCCTTTGCTGGCTCCCACCCTTTGGTCTCATCTTTATCATTAGGGTCATCCGAAAGAAGATCCCTCACGCATTAGGTGTTATGGTGCCTTTCCTTTTCCAAATGTCTAGCGCTGTGAACCCCTTCATATATGGTGCCTTGAGTCCACCCTTTAAACGTGCGTTTCGCCGTCTTTTGACGTTGCGCGGTGCACATCGCAATGCGCATGCACCAAAGAATGCTGTAGCCCCGAAACCTCTTGAAGCAGTCAAAAGCGGATGATGTTATTAACCTCCAAAGGGAGCAACACCGGATATAAAAACAAAATCTCCAGCTGCCTCTTTGACGAAATGGCCACGCTTGAGTGTACCCTGGAATAACACGAGAGACTACACGCACTAGCATTTTTTAACAGAGAGAACAAGCTTGTAGGGGTACCAACGACTGTTTTCTTTAAAACGTTTGTTCGGAAAAGCAAGTATTGCCTAAAATTTTCTATTGCTTGAGGACGGCTAAAAATATCTAGATGACCATTCCTCTCATGTGCAATTTTCTAAACTTTTCTAATAAGATCCCTACGATTTTCTGAAGTTTGATTTTTCATATTTCACTACCCAGGTCATAGACTATTTTTTGTAGAATAAGGAAACCTAAAAATTTCGAATTCAAAAATGTGATGGAGAGATCGAGAGGAATCAGAAAAACTCTCACTCTCGTAAAACGTCAAATTGCCTCTAAAATTTTCGGGAAAATAATACTGAAGCCCTTATAATTTCGAAAAGACTCAAGTTCCGTAGGATAACCGAACCGATACAAATTTTATAGCACCGCTTAGAATAGATAGCCTAAGTATTTTCAATGTATTTAGGAGGAAATCGTCGTTGTGTCGTACCCCTGAAGCTTGGATTTTTAGACTAGACCGTAAATATCAAATAAAAGACTTGATACTGAACCATACACAACAGCAAGTTAGCAAAGTAAAAAGAGCAATTCTACATATATATATTTGAAAATGGATCACTGTATTTTCTTGAATTTTCAATTAGTGCTTGAAGGCATATCATATTATTGTTTATTTTCCATAATCAAAAAGCAATGCCTGCCAAATTACAGAAAAACCCTTGCACGATGGGGTACGATCAACCTTGCGCAACTTCGGATCTATAAAAGATCGATATCATTTAAAATTATAAACAATATACATTAACGTCAAATTTAACTTGCGAAACAACGTGACAAAAATCAAATTAGTTACCGATATTTCGACTGGTCAATTACCAAGAGACCTAGCGGATCACGGATTTTTAGAAATATATGTCGTGTAGTAAAAACAATGATCATTCTCTATATTGTTACAGATCAAGGTTCATCACGTTCACAGTGTTTTGACGCCAGGAGTGTCAAGGGTCTTAGCCTTATTTTTATGGATTAGGGAGCTTAAGCAACAACGACAGCGAAGTCAACGAGAACGGCAAAAAAGCAATTGGTTTAGATTGGCAAAACAACAACTTTGCACGTGCATCACGCTTTCTTGTACATTTCTTTGCCGTCACTGCACTACTGCGACGTGAAAATGCCTATTTTCACGTTTTGTGGAGGACGTGAACGCAAGACCAGGACTTCCTCTTTCTTTTCCTGAACTTCGGTACAGTCTTTTAGAATTGAACTCCAGAAAAAACTGCGAACATTTGACGAATTGAACGAGGTGGAATAAGCGCGATAAAGTTTGAAGCAGCGCGACTTCACTGTTAGAGAGACGTTTTCGTAGCCTTTGCCGTCGTTGCTTTTAAGCAAAAAAGCTCCTTAACCCTTTAAGTCCCAATAGTGACCAACATCAGTTTTCTCCTAACAATATACATACATTGTCAAGAAATAAAGTTATGAGAATTAATGAAATGATCACCAAAGAGAAAATGCTAAGATCGTTTATCAAAGTCTCTCAACTAATTCTTAAAGGAAATGTATGGAGATCAGTTTGGAGAATTTGTATGTGGATACTGGGGCTTAAAGGGTTAATGTGCGCATCAGGGCGACCTGTTCTTGAAAGAGTCACGTCCATTATAAAGTTTTTCAAAGGAATGAGTAGCATACGGGTTTCGATGTGGCTTTTCTGAGAACAGTGTTATGAAACTGCTTTACAGTCCCTATAAGGGAGCCAGAACATTGAAGAAAACAACCTCGTTCCCAGGGTTCTCTCGTCCCAACGAGATTGTGAAGAAAACACCTGAAACTCAGGACATANGGGGGGGGGGGGGGGGGGGGGGGAGAAATTGCATACTTATAGTCTAAAATAGGGCAAGAATTTCAAAGGATATGCCACATACTGCCATATTAAAACAACACGGGAGACTCCAGCCCCCCCCGGAACACAGGTGCAGCACCAAAAAGCCTCTATAATCCTGTGTGCTGTTGCAGTAGGGTGTTTCATTGCTCCGGTATGTTGTTATTATACTGAAGCAAATTTGAGACGAATTCTTACATAGCCAGAAATTTTTTATTACTCGGCGTCGGGGAAACAATTCAGTTGGGAAGCTGCAGTGTAATTTAAAAATTGTCCGCTAGCAGCGGAGTCTCTAGCCGCGAAAAGAAGCGCTGCTAGTAGTGTTTTTATAAAACAGTTAAAATAGCTGTTCAATTGACCAAATATTGCCTAGAATTTTCTAGAAATTCCTAGATCCATTCACGTACGATTGTCAAAACTCACCTCATTAATTTTTCACATTTCACTCTCCAGGTTAAGCTATATCAGTCTTAGAAGAAGAAAACCTAAAATTTTCGGACTCGAAAATTTGATGGAGAGAGGAATCGGAAAATTTCCAGTCATCTTTGTACATAAAGCTGAAGCCCTTGTACTACTTGACTCAGGTTGACCTAGGATGACCGTGCAGATACAAACTTTACAGTGCAGCTTAGAATTGATTTCTTGTGATCTAAAAGTAATAGAGAGCGTAAAAAATGAGGAGGAAACCGTCTTTGGGTGTCCCTGTGTTAAACAGAATAGTTGCTTTGAACGCGTGCTGCAGCGGTCACGAGGAAAGCGGTGATTGTTATTGTGTTGCTCGCATGACAAGCGATGAAATTTCACGTGCTTTGAAAGTTTATTTAATTTTATATTTGCCTGCGACGTGACCACTTGAGAGATCAACAGGATCGTTTAAATCCAACATTATTCAAAGTGGCATCGTTCAAAGTGGAAACGTGCAGACGTGAATAAACTCGACTCATCACAGAACTTTAAGGTAGCTTGAGGCAACCGACGTCCTGAAGTTAGTTTGTGAGGTGGGTAGAAATTTTTTTGTCAACTGAACTGATAGACAAAGAGACTTCCACGTCACTGATCATGTGAGATATTTTGAGATCTATAGGCCGCATAAACCTCGCCAACCACACCACTCAAACTGCTCAAACGTACACCTGACGTTTGTAAAACCTTATATTAATAGAAAGCTACGTTTTGAGATCTTCATTCAATGTTTTGTAGAAACATTTCGAAACATTCAGATCCCTCAAAATTTTTGGTCATTTACTTGTTTTTTCTTGCATGACATATTGTACAAATAAATACATTATTCACGCTGATTAGTTTAGACCGCCTGCTTCGACTCACACCTGTAATCGATCAGGGTTATCATAAATCCCTTATTTCCTCTCGGGCTCTATATGGATATTATACTACTACTACTAATAATAATATATTTCTAAGAGCAAGAAGTGAAATTTAATAATAATAAAACATCGAGACTTATTATATATTGAGTTTATATCTATAGGAAAGTCTATTGATTGAAATATTCTTAAACGTATAAAAGTGTGCGAGCGCTATTCTTGATGTTGTTCTTGTTGTTGTTCTGTATTAATAATTGTGCGAGCGCTATTCCTGTAGTTGTATGCAGTGTTTAGTTAATACTCTAATAGCCCCTTCCTCATCTGTAAGCGAAGTTGTCACGATGTAAAATAAGCGACATTAACTGTTATGTTATGTTTCAAGAAACTGCTCCTTTTAGAGCCCCCCTCCCCACGTTGCCCAGGGGTGGGTTGCGTGACGAGCCAAAAGAATGTGTACGTCGGAGTTTTTAAAATCCGTGTACAATTGCGAGCCAGTTGTTACTGAAATGTGTCAGCACGCCACCAACGTGATGGAGCAAGGAGACAAATTAAAATAGATGGTGGGTAGGTAGGTAGGTAGGTAGGTAGGTAGGTAGATAAATAGTCTAAATAGGTAGGTAGATTTCAAAAAGATTTAGAAACACGCCTAGCCCTAACAACACTTGGTTAGTTTTCATGGTCCACACGTAACAGATAAAGGTTCGTGTACAATTGCGAGGCAGTTGTCACTGAGATGTGTCAGCACGCCACCAACGTGATGGAGCAAGGAGACAAAAATAGATGGTAGGTAGGTAGGTAGGTAGATTTTAAAAAGATTTATAAATACGCTTACTCCCAACAACACTTCGTTAGTTTTCACGGAGGGCGTGTCCACAGATAACAGTTAAAGGTTAAGACCAATATTACATTACTAAACTACTGGACAAAAAATTATTAAAAAATTACTAACATAAAGATAACAACTTGGAATGACCAACCTACGTTCTTATACTAGGAAGAGGGCTTCGGTATCAAGCACTGACTGTTGTAATTAGGATCAAGCACTGATAATACTGATCGGGGTTAACTTGGCACTGAAAATAGTGATTAGGGCTATATTTGAGCATTAACCTTACTGATTAGGTTTAAGCACAGAAATTAGTGTCAGGGCTAAAAACTGACAAATTAGGGTTAAGCACGGACTCGAAACAGTTCACTACGCTCCGGATTCGGTTCTTGAAGAGAACAACACTTCATAGATATTTGCTAAGCAGAAATTTCAAGAGGTTTAGAAATTTCTTGTAAGTCAGTAGTGTAGTGTAGGTGGTGGACTGCAAACACTGCTATATACCATGATATACAGTTCGGATTTGATTCTTACTCACGCTACTCTGATATTTTTCCTCTTTAAAAATCGAAGAGACTTTAATGAACATTTGCTGACCAGAATTTTCAAGAGACTTATCTCATGTAAGTGTAGTGTGGAAGAAATAAAGAAAACTAAGTTGTGTGAACTTCATCCCACAAGGGGAAACAGTTTTCAGAATGAAGCTGTTCAGTACTGGGCTCTTGCTGTTTCCAGAGTACCGAAATAAAATTCTTAATACACCTTATGGCTCCTATACCCGCGCTAACCTTCTTACAAATCATTTCAGCATGACAGTCCCAGCTAAGTTTTTCATCTATCAGTACCTCTAGGCATTTATGTGTGCCAGTGCGAGGAGCCAATGAACACCATACTTTTGATTGTAGACGGAGTTTTAGTAGCCTGCAAGCAAGCGTTTCCCCGCAAGTTCGTCCAGAAAGTCGGGAAGAGAGCACAAAAGAGGAATGAAGGGGGAGGTGGAGGGAAGAAAAGAAAAACTTTCCGCTTTTCCCTTCCTTCACCCCCCCCCCCCCTCCCCCCACCTTCCTTTTTTTCCCTCTCTCTTTCTCTAACTTTCGCGCAATAACTCATCGGAAGAAAAAGTTTGCTACGCAAGCTAGTGTACCACTTACGAATATGATCGAGATTGGAGGTTACCTTTACGATGAGTTTGTTGGCATCGTAAGAAATCATGAAGATATATATTCACAATTTTCACATTGTCTATAATGCAGCGTGTTTACCTCCCAAAATTTTGCATAAGCATTGTTTTAATTCCTTTAATAGCCAGATTTAGAAACAATAGTTATTCAAAATTTTCGGGGGGGGGTAGACAACAAGGGCAATAAGAAAATGGTGGTTACGGCACCGTTTTTGCCAAGAGAAGATACTACCTTTGAAGTGAAATTTTTCCAAGAAAGTTTTTTGTGTCCGTTTGGAAGATACATTATCCACTGAAGTAAGTACTAGGCGAGAAATCTAATGTCCATCGGGGGCCGCATACTTTCATTATGCACCAGGCAAAGGGAAAGAACTGTAATAACAATTACTTTAAAAGCAGACGACTCGTGGTTAGGCCAACGGAGAGAGAAGATAATGGCTCCACTAGATAATGTGAATGGCGAGATTCTTTAACATGTAAATTGTGGATAAAAAGACGTTTGGAAAAAAGGTCAGGAAAGAAACAACTTACTTAAATATTGCATTAATTCTTCAAAAACTTACACAAAAAAAAACCGTCAGGAAACTTAACTGATTTAAAATTCACCTTTCATGTGTACCTGCTGATAAAAAAATCACGAGTGAAGAGCATGTTTAATCCAGGCGTATGAAAGGATGACTCAGTACCGAGGCATAAGGGGCCTTCTTCGACGACGGTAACCGCAACGAGAACGACCAAAATAAGAAAAACAACATTTCTGTGCGTGCAGCACGCTTTTTTTTGTACATTTCTTTGCCTTCACTGCACGAGTAGGATGTGAAAAATGTCTAATTTTACGTTTTATGAAGGACATAAACAAGCAACGACGAAATTTTCTTCTCTTTCTGAAGTTGAATAGTGCTCTTGGTAATTTAACTCCAGGAGAGTTCGCCTACATTTGAAAAAGTAAGTGACTTGGAATAATCGCGATGAAGATTGAAAGAACCTGAACTGACATTTTCAGCGAAGTTTTCGCCGCTGCCGTCCTCGGATTAAGAGGACGTATATTTGCGACGTTAGGACCTTTGGACAGTGTGGTAGTACAATGTATACTATGGTCAGTGTATAGTGTTACAGAGTCAGTCCCATTCAGCAAGACACACACGAGCTACTGACGTACTCCTTAGTTAAAACAAGATTAAAATCAAGTCATACTCGACCATTGCCTCCGCCGCGCAACATTTCACGTACGAGGCTGAGTCATAGAATATTTAGTGCTTGCCAGCCAACTGTTTTATGTTGTCATAATAAGATATTTTGCATCATTTTTATACAGATAACCAACTACTCTGAATTTCGTCCTTCAGTCAAGCAATGTACATCGTTGTGTTTTTAAACTCTGAGTTTCGCAAGAACAACCCTAAATGTGCTCAAACAATTGTGAGAAGAGTCTGCAGCGAGGGACACTGTATCACGTTGTTTGGTGAGTTCAATCAAAATTTGTGTCATTTCATGCTGTTCACCATTTTTTTTTCACCCTCAAATAGAAAGACAGAAAAGCCGGGGGTGAAACAAAATGGTGGGCTTGAACTGTTAATAGCTACATCTGAAGATTCTATTTTCTCGAAGATTTTTCGGCAACGCTTCGAGGCTGGTAGCGCAGTTTTGAACTTTGAGACGGTAGACTACTCATGCTTTTGCTATATCAACCCGCTTAACAGTCTCGTCAAAGGCTCCATTTGCTTTTTCGTGTTACAAAATTGCTTAAATTTTGGCTCTCAGCACTATTGGGAATGAAAGGCTTTAGCAGACTATTAAAAATCTTAAAAGCGATCTAGACAGTGAGACAGGGAAGAAAGGACAAACGAAAGGAGAACGAGCGCAGTTTTAGCTAGTCTGCTAGTCTCTCTCCCAACCCACTGACCCATTGATTGCTATTGGCTTTTTCTCCAATTACAATCCTGAGTTTTTATGTTAGTAACATTTCGAGCCACTTCTTATCATCTTAATTATTGCAAATACCCGTCTGGCGAACAACGAAACCAACCAGTTTTCAAATCTAACATGTTGTACGTTATTTCTGTCCAGCGTCGACCCCCAAGGGTCGATTGTTTCCAGTGCTGGAGGAACCTCGTTCCCAGTTCACCTCATGTTTTGGTCAGAAACCGGCTCAACTGGTCCAAGACAGGATTTCCAAGTCAGACGCTATCATCTTACTAACTGATAAACCTGTTTATGAAATCCCTCGAGACTTGCAGTCTGTAAAAGAACATTGTAACGGACACGTGTATTCATGGTGTTCGTATGGAGTTCACTGTGCCTTGCTCGGTGGAACAGTTAACAATAAAAGAGTGGCGATACAATTAAGGGCGCTACTAGAAGACTCTGCTAATTTGCTCGTNACAACGAAACCAACCAGTTTTCAAATCTAACATGTTGTACGTTATTTCTGTCCAGCGTCGACCCCCAAGGGTCGATTGTTTCCAGTGCTGGAGGAACCTCGTTCCCAGTTCACCTCATGTTTTGGTCAGAAACCTGCTCAACTGGTCCAAGACAGGATTTCCAAGTCAGACGCTATCATCTTACTAACTGATAAACCTGTTTATGAAATCCCTCGAGACTTGCAGTCTGTAAAAGAACATTGTAACGGACACGTGTATTCATGGTGTTGGTATGGAGTTCACTGTGCCTTGCTCGGTGGAACAGTTAACAATAAAAGAGTGGCGATACAATTAAGGGCGCTACTAGAAGACTCTGCTAATTTGCTCGTTGGAAGTATCTTACCACGCCCATGCAACTTTGAGAAAATGTATAAAGTTGATCCGATGTTTGAGACTGGAGAGCCTTGTGTGACTTGACCACGTGTGGATCACGTGTGAATAAGACGCACCGGAGAAGAAAAGAGGGGGTACACGTCTCGTGGGTGGACCAACTGACAGAAAAGCTAATTGTTCCAAAGGATAATTGCGAGAATGAATGAACAAAACGTTGTAAAAGCTTTGATTCTGAATAATCAAAAGGGCGTCATAGGAGGATGATGGCGCAAACAAGAAGTGCTCTGCAAGTCACAAAACTTAAACCAACGATTAAAATTTCTCTAGTAATACTTCTAAGGAGGAAAAGGCTTCTTGTGGAAAACACGAGAGTGTCTTGGGAATCGGGGCATTCGCTTAACGCGGAATGTATGGGCAGCTTAAAGCAGTGCATTCGGACAAGGAGTGACTCCTCTTTGGAGCCTGGTAGAAGAATAGACTTTCCGAGCACTTGGTGATCGTCAAATGATTTGTGTTTTTTTATGCTAATGACCCGTTTGATTTTCGCTTTACAGATGCCTCGGAATTCATGAAAAGGTTCTTGAATCAAAGTCTTTTACGCAATGTATCCACAGTCAATCAGAAAAAGAATTGTTTCCTTTGGCACATCCATTCCTCCCAGGCTATTTTATTACGTCAGCAAATGTAATGTAGCAGTGGAGATGAAATTGTGACTTGTCATGCAGTTCGTCTTGTTACGTGACCATATCATTTTAATAACAAAATTAATGTAAATATTGTAAGATCCTGTTATTAAAATAAACCACAGCCGTTTATTCCTTGGTTCTTTCGGAATTCATGCTGTTACTTTTTTAACAGGCCCCAGTTGTTCAAACGATGGATAGCGCTATCCACCGGAAAAATCGCTGTGCAATGGATAAATATTACGAAAACTAATTGCGTTATCTAGTGGATAGAGATTTATCCGGTGGATAGCGCTATCCAACTTTTGAACAACTGGGGCCAGGTGGATGAAAGTTACTATAATAATAACTATAATATTGTTACGATTTACACCTTCATCAACAGTGTGGTTATTTCCAAACCAACCCCCTAATTCTAAGCAATTGAAATTGCCAATTCTGTTTCTTCTAGTCATCCCTCCAGCCCTACCCTATGAGCAAGCCCTCCATTAGGGGGAGTCCCGAGAAGTCACGCGAGAGTAGCACACGAAAGGAGACGCGAGTGCGAGGAGCTGACTCGCGCGTTATCTCGCGGCTCGCAGGTGGACTTGCTCACATGCTACTCCAGCCCCGTGTAGGCAAAGGGTACATTACACTAACAATTGAAAAGGAGGTAGGTTTTAGGACAATCATGTGAAGAGCGCACAATCAAACATAGTAAAAACTGTCAATAAAAGCATAAGTGGAATGAATAGGAGTGTGCTTCAAGCACATAACAAGGATTTCAAACACGTGCCCTTCGCGCGAGTGTTCTCGAAAGTGCTCCTCGCCAACCAGTGCCTGATATGCAAGGCAACAAGCAGTTATCAGAACAGACATTAAAAAGTTGCCTGTATAGAGGTTTACATTTAATTTATTTGGAATGATCTAAATTGCATATATCTAGTAATATAGTATCTTTTTATGCAACATTTCATATAAAATTTGTGATTAAGAAAATATATTGAAACAATTGTACATTATGCGGGTTGAATTATTAACTGGGGCATCAATCAAGCAGACGAACTATCCGCCTTAAAAGGGAAAACTTTAAAGTGCCTCCAGCGAGGCAATCAAAAGTTTCACTGAAAACATAACGAATCTAAAAGTATCTAAACAATAAACTTCATTCATAAATGATTGCTCTTAGCGTTACATTAAAAAAAAAAAAAACAGGGTTGTAATTATGTCATTTCGCGCCCTTTGTGCGACTGGGCACGAAAAGAATGATTGGAAGATAACGATGTTGACGTCCTAGAGAGAGCTGCTTTCAACAGAGTCAATAGTAATGATGCATTTGATTGACAAGGTAAACGCTTTGTGATTGGCTAAGAATCTCCCGCTAATTTTTTAGCCTATCAGGGGTAAAACTAAAACCACAGACGTCCCGGTCGCGCGAATTTTCCCGCGCTTGATCCGGTTACATTTTTGATGCGATCTGATGGTTCATTTGCGTCAAAGCTTGTTGTGATTGGCCACAGGATCATCATTCGTTTTCCCGCCAGTTCTATTCCTACGATAAACAGCCCTGGAGATACGCTTCATTGATTGTGGTTTTCGGAAGTGTTCGTTTCTTTTCGTGCGACCGTCGATTAACGATCAAGCTGTCTCGGGAACTCGGTCATTCCTCCCAAGGGCTTACATCGGTATCTATCGCTAAGCAGTTATAAGCAGCGTAACGAATCTTCTCTTCTGCTACTTTGGCGCTGCAATTCAAAAAAACAGTTGTATTTCAAAGGCTTGCCCTAACAAATCAAAGGCTATTGCTGCTGCGTTGGAGGTCTGCATAATTAGTTTACCGTTAATCAAATTTTCCGTATTCTGTTCATATTAGTTTCTTGGTGGACTGCTAGCAGTCCCTAGGGCGAGCATGTTAATCGCGAGCGAGCAAGCGACATGTTCGCCCACGCGACAGTTCTGAGGGATTGCAAGCAGCAAGGTTTTGCCAGAAAGGTGTCCAGCCGTCCTATGGACGCTCATCCATGATATTACATTAAAAAGACACACAGTTGCTTTTGTAATTCTAACCCTCACCCACCCCTCCCTTCACTCTCTGCAATAGCATAAAGTACATCCTCATGTTACATACCTTGAATATTCCGGTAGAAACAGAGTACTGGAACACGTGGCTGCTTCAGGTAAAGAATCTATTTTGATTGAACTGAAATGAGATAAAATTGACGATAAACACATAATTTGGTGACGACACTTTCCTGTAGTCTGTGTATTTGAGGGGAGGGGAGGGGGCGTCTGTACACAGACTACTTTCCCATAAAGCTAATTTTCTTTCACTAAGAGTCATACAGACGTATACTGCAATTCTATCTTTCGAGTCCGTGGATGAAATCCTGTGATGTGACTATTCATATGAAACCTCTCTGTCACAGCTTTCACGTGGTGACGTTAGTTTTTTAGTATTTCACAAGCTATTATATTGTTGTTTGATGTGGTTTGTAGTGGATTTCCCTCACCTTCTTCCTGGGCAGATGTAGAGCGGTGCTGGAAGTCTCCTTCTTCCGGTCACGAAACGAAGAAAACGGCTACGATCATCTGGGGAAAAAATAAGAACATGTAAAGTGTTGTGTTAGCCTCAACAACTTTCTGGAGGGGCAATACATCATCCAGGTATGAGAAAAACATTACACATCGATTACTTACAGGGATTTCTGACAGACAGTTATCACTCGAACGTTTCTGAAAATTTCGTAGATTTCTAAGGTCTTAGGTGAGATCACTGGACAACGTCCAAGTTATTAAGCCAGCGAGATTTCCGGTGGCAAGCTGGCGAACTTCCGCTGATTTTTATGTTGGATACAGGTAATCTTTCTATAAACGTGTCTAAATGAACAATTTATGTTAGATTTTCGCTCCCGAATATCACGACTTTCCTATTACATCCATAGCAGAAACTACGTTAACAAAGAAAAAAAGGCGGAGCTTACCGTTTGTAAAATTTTCAAGTGCTTTCCAAAGAAACTTCACACGCTTGTCATTTTCGGAAATATCTTCATATTGCACTACAAAAAAACAAAAAACAAAAAAAAACAAACGGTTAAGAATGAGTGCATGCGCGGAGCACTGAAAGAAGACGGAAACATGTCTTCTTGTACAAACAAAATTGATAGCAGTGAGCCGGATTAAGGGGCGGGGGGGAGGAGTTTCTCTTTCAATTGAAACCCTGACTTCTGCGATGCCGGGGTGTATTTCATATTCATCATTTCATCACCGATTTAATGACCATCTCCGCGCTAGTTTGCTAGCTTAATTGGTTAGTGCGCTGCACCGGTATCGCAGAGGGCAGGGTTCCAATCTCCACAAGCCGGTTTTCTTTTTACAATTTCATAAGTTGCGTCTTCATCTGCGATGACCGTCTTCTTATGGTCATACTTACTACATTTCTTCAACGCTTCAACCGTAAGCTCAGGGTCACCACAGACTCTTCTTTCCAGTTCTTGCCAAGTGAGAAGGTCGAGCACAGCCTGGGAAAGAACTTTAAGCAAGCCTCGCCTAATTGCCTCGATCTGAAAAGAAAAAGACAGTTCGCAGTGATCATTTTACGACCTGACAAACAAGCTGCAAGTATAATTTTGTAATACAAGCCGAAGGTGGAGGATATTTTCTGGTTTTTTGAATCCTTACGACCCGATACATCGAATGAAGTAGGCGAAACGTTTTCGCTAAAAGTGGGCTTGATACAAGAATTTGGCTGCAGGAACTCGTAACTTCATCGGCTGTTAAGCAATAGATGAGCATGCTAACGGAAGTAAGAACCCTGTTATAGTTGAATCTTGCTTGTAGGCGAAGATAGAAGTAAACTCTCAGGGGAATAATTCTCCCTTCCATCCCCCTTGTACTTAATTCCCTTTTCCCTCTCGCCGACTTGTTAGTGCTTTCTCCACTTCTTCGTCCTACCCCTCCCACAAAAAGGGCCTGTCCACAGGCTAACCAGGGTCGGTTATGGAAATTTGTATACCTGTGCTTTTCCTTCAGCCATCCTGCAGTTTCGCACTAGCCTTATGTACTCAGTTCTTTCTTCATAATCAACGAACTTGTCAGCTCCTCCAGGCACAAGGTTTATTAAAGTGTTATCACTTAAAACCTGTCAAAGAAAACAAACAACCAAACACAATCACTTTTTAGAGATTTGGTCTGTCAGTACATTCAGAATTTTTTGATAGACTGACTGTTGATCAGCTAGCAAGATGATGAAATAGTCTATCTCTCTGTCTGGCAGTCGGTCGGGCAGTTAGGTTACTCAGTTAGTTTGTCAGACCATCAATCAATCAGTCAGGCAGTCTGTTCACCACCTATTCAATCAGTCAGTCCATTGCTCACTCAGTCTGTCTGTCTATCAGTTAGCCAATTAGTCAGTCAGTCTGTCAATCAGTTAGTCAATCAGTAAGTCAGAGTTGGTCTTTGGGTCGGTCGGTCACTTAGTCAGTCAGTATGCCTGAGTCAAATATCTGAATCAAGATTGGTGTTTTCACACAAGTCAGCCCCTACCGTCGTGTAAGTGAGGACTCCTCCAAATTTCATATTAAATGAATCTTTATCCATTGACTCTAGCGATTCAAGTAACTTGACCTGGTGGCATGGAAGGAAGTAAACAAGTAGATAATAACAATAATACAACTCCTTTCTGTGTANTTCACCACCTATTCAATCAGTCAGTCCATTACTCACTCAGTCTGTCTGTCTATCAGTTAGCCAATTAGTCAGTCAGTCTGTCAATCAGTTAGTCAATCAGTAAGTCAGAGTTGGTCTTTGGGTCGGTCGGTCACTTAGTCAGTCAGTATGCCTGAGTCAAATATCTGAATCAAGATTGGTGTTTTCACACAAGTCAGCCCCTACCGTCGTGTAAGTGAGGACTCCTCCAAATTTCATATTAAATGAATCTTTATCCATTGACTCTAGCGATTCAAGTAACTTGACCTGGTGGCATGGAAGGAAGTAAACAAGTAGATAATAACAATAATACAACTCCTTTCTGTGTAAAAAAAATAAGGCCTGGTTTCATTTATCTGGGTTAAACACCAACAGTTTCTGTTACCTACAGCCATACTCATGCAACTAAACAATTCTGTACATACACTAGTCTGCTTAACACAGCTATTTTTAGTGTCATCAGGCAACACTGGGGAGGAGTGTTGTGTGACCGCACTAAAAACATCTGTGTAGCAGAGTATACACACACCTGAGCCAAATCTATTGTCATGAAGTCACGAGACCAGGTGACCTTTTCACCAACAAGCTGTCGCCAGACAAATGACGGAAGTGAAAGAACCTTGAAAAAATTATAACAACACAGTTAGCGCCCTTAGTTTGTGAAGTGTATTTAGTATTTCAACCTCCCTTCATTTCCCCTTCATTTTGAAAATAAAGCTTTTATATAGTCATGTAGTTACAGGAGGCAAAGTTTAACATTCTGCTGCACATGCAGTTTATGACACTGCCAGACATTTATTGTAGAGGTAGCAAGAGTAACAAATCTGAGTGACATAAACACGAAGGTACTGCCAAAAATGTTTTCTTTGAGTGGTCAGACCATACACGAACAATTCCATCTACAGATCCAAAAGTTGGAAATGCAGGACTTGTTTTATAACTGATTCTGGGATTATTATTCATTGAAAATGGAGAATTTCATTTTGCTGGTCACAAGGTCAACTAGGAAAACCAAAGACTACTTCATACCAGATGTTCTTTGCTGCTCCTTAAGCATGCCCCCATTAACATGCCAATCCATTCAAACTTGCTGAACTGCTTACATGAAGGGTTAGGCACATATGCATCTCTGTTCACGTTTGAAGAATCATGCAGCTAAGAAACAAAGAGAGAGGAGAGTTAGATGCTAAACACACAAAATTTAACAGGAAAAAGGTTTGTCTGTTACTATGCATGGGGAAACAAAAAAAACCAATCTATTTATTTTGCATGTCAAATTATGTATTTAGCACAAAGGTACTAATTTGGGACACAGTGTTTATGTCTCTAACTGGAGACAGGACCGCCATTTTACGTGGCCATCCGAGAGATGCCAAGGTAGTCGCTTGCAGTGCAAAGGGAATACCTTCATTTCCCAGTTATTTTAAGACCCTGAGTTTTGGTCTGGCCCTCAGAATCAAACCCATACCCTTTGACTCTGCAGCCAAGCTCACTACCAAATAAGCTAATCCTACCATGAATATAGTTACAATTTGCAGTTGACTATTAATGCATTAATATCAGTCTGTTTGCACTTTGATGCAGAACAGCCACATTAACTCCTTTTATGCAAATCATTCAAATCCTTATATTGAGGGGAAGAACTTCATTTTTAGTATAACAAACAAATGAACCAATCTGAAAACAGATTCTGTTGACGAGAGTTTTGGCATTCTTTGGCTGATGTTAAAACCAGCCTCACTAACCTCACTAATGGATCATATGTATGGAAAAATAAGATTTGGATTACCTGATTGGGGCTGCGAACAAAGAAAGGTAGAGGTATAGGAACATCGGTGGAACTTGGACAAAGCTCTTCAGCAACATCTGCTAAGGAGTCTCTAAAGCCACCACCTGAAAGATTACAGTATTACTACGTGAGTAGTGTCAAATGTCTTTAAATATTCTGACAAGAGATGGTGCTGCATGCAAGTATAACAAAGTGTCTTTGCCACCCCTTACGCCACCCCTGGTTCTTGAGGCAAGCACAAGGTACCGGGGTATGATAAGTATGGTAAAGTGTCCATAAACTCAACCTTAAAGTGACAACACGTGGTCAAAGGCTGTCTAACCTTGATCGATGATTCCCTCAGACAAAAATTTACACTCCCACCATTGGTCATATCGAGAAGACCACCTACAAAACAATGGTACAGGAAAATTTACTGATTTGTCATTTGCTCCTATCCTGACTTGGCTTGAGTAATCCTGTGGGAATACAGAGAAAGTACAACATAAATTGCAGAGGAGAGATACACCTGTATCCTACCTGTAATCCAACTTTACCCCACATTTTTCTTGCTTCAAACCTTCATAAAGCTGAAGGGAAAATGAGAGTAATAAAAATGATCAAAGAAATACATCCGTTGAAAAACTGGTAAATACTGCTACTAATGTACTATGCTGGCTGGAATAACTTGCAAGTAAATGTTCTAGACGCTGGGACCTGAATTTATACAAGAATGAACAATGTGCTTTTACTGGCAGAGTAAAAGGCTAAATCATAAAAACACTGTGTAGATCTTAAGTAGATAACTTGATAAGCTAAAATGGGATTAAATACTCAGTCTATGTAAAACTTTGTCCTAGGATAAAGGCTGTCTTAGTCCCATTACACCCTAATGTTTGATGTTAGGGACCTTAAGTGATGACAATGGTGATGGCAACCAGAACGAGAACGGCAAAAAAGCAATAGAATATTACATGGAGTATGTGAACTCACGACAATGACCCTCTTTTTCTTTTTCTGAAATTTGATACAGTCCTTTAGAATTCAACTCTAGAAAAATTCACCAACATTAATTTTGAGGAATTGAACAAGATGGAATACGTGTGATTAAGTTTGAAGCAGTAGAAACACACTTTTTTACTGATGTTTTCGTAGCCGTAGCTGTCGCCGTTGTTGTTGCTTAAGCTCCCTATTTAGACCAACATCACAACTACTGATGCCACCTGAAAATGGAATTCAGATAAAAGGGGTACTTGGAATGAGGACCCAAGTCGCCGCTAAAAAACTGCTAGATTCTTTTGCACTATTTCTCTTGTACATGCTTGTGATATGAAGGGAGAATATAAGACTGAATGCTAACCTGATTAAATATTGAGCATTTAGCATCTGGATCTTGTGTTGGATCTGCTCTGTGTTCAGCTGCTGAGCGTCTGTTAATGAACAGCTTTGGCATGTGTGCCGGAGGGCTAGGAAATTGGGAAAAATTAGGATTTGACATCTACAATTAATGTTGTAAAGTAATGCCATTCCTCTTGCATGGAATGCTAAGCTTAACCAGCATATTCTTCTTCGAATTGGAGCATAGCTGTGTTTTAGCAAAAAGCACCATACCTGGATTGAGATTCTCTGATAACTTTGTCAATCAACATGGTTCTGTGCTTTGACAAGGGAAGAAGCTGACGAATGGCCTAAATTAGAAATAACAAATATATGTGACATTAATTACTAAAAGAAGCACCTGCCAGAGAATGGCAACATGGCCTAAATAGCAGCAACAGCTTGGAAAACAAAGTATTATGCAACTGGTAAAAATACTGTTGCTACTGTATACTAACTAACTATATTACAAGTTAAGTGTACTAGGTGCTGGAACACCGTGATCTAGGTTGTGGAAAAAACAACAAAATAACTTGATAAGCGAAGGAATAATACTCAGTCCCCATGGACTAAATGCTGTCTTTGTCCCATCTGTTTAGAAGAGCATCACAAAACTCATACCATTCTGATTTCAGAACAAACAAACTGTGTTTACACATACAACTGAACTGCAGGAGAAAGATTTAACATATGAAAGATCATTTTAGATCATGATCTTTCACCTGTTAAACTGCCTCAATGATGACATAACATTCAACACAAAACACTGACATTATACATTTTCCATTTCTGTGAGAACAAACAATGTTTATAATACCTCTAAGTCTTTAAATGATCCAGCTGAGTAGTTCCAAGAAGGCAGTAAATAATGTAAAACACTGTCCAGTAGCTCGGTAAATCTAAAAAGAAATATACTCTTACTATTACAATCACTAATTTTCTTTCATTTTTGTCAACTTTTACCTCATTTGCAAGCACAGTTTACCTGAGCAAAGCTTGTGCCCTTCTGTATAGCAGGGCTGGATCAACAGCGTCTAGTTTAGGAAACCTGTAAATGATAATAAAGTTGACAATGAGCACATAATAAGAGTTAAAACTCCCTCCCACCACCCCTCCCTCCGCAGATTTTTTTAATATATTTATATACCTACATGTACTTTCATTTTTATCTATATTACACAAGTATAAATATATTTCATTAGTTAGATAGTCTTGATGAATGTAAATAGCTACTCTGTAAAAAAGTCATCAATAAACCGTTATCATTATTTTTTATTTCTACACAAGTATTCAAACGACCTTCAAGAACAAGACATTTGCTGCAAATTTATTATCATTCTCTTTCTATTATCAATATTATAAAGGAAATAAAGGGAGATGTAAAGAATCAACCATAAGAGGACACAGAAAAAAATCTGAGCCCCAGATGGGATTCGAACCCACGACCCTCCGTGTTCTAGATCATGCTGATAAATCTGTTAATTTGAAGTAAGAATGTACAAAATGAGGAAGAAACATTTATTTGAGTATTTTATTTTGGTTTAGCCTCACACTAAACTCCTCAAATAATTAAAGTTACATTCATTTGTATCTTTTAACTTATGGCTTTGGAAACCTTAAGAGATTCCAATAACCAACCATGGAGGAAGTACATATTATTATCACTTTTTTAGATATTCACACAGTAAGTATTAACAAGGTAAATTCACATATCAACAAAAAATTAATACACAATTGAAAAATTTATTATTACCTTACAAGTTCAGAAGAGGTAAATAAATCCTTGTTAAGCCCTGGTTCTCTTTCACTCTCTGTGATTAACTTGATGCTATGAATGCGGGTATCTATGCCCTCATCTATCAACAAATATGAGGCACATAAGGATGTAAATAAATCTGTTAAAGCTAAAAGGATTTTCTTAACAAGTGTCTAGAGGTGATTTTCAGGCTATTGTCTACAGATCTGTGCTGTCAAAGTCATTAAAAATGGATTAAATGAAGCAGACATTTTGGAGCCTACCCTTGCACTCTTTAATTCTGATTTGAATTATGCTATAGTATTGACCCACTCCCTTTGCTACACACACATCTCCAGAAACAGTCCTGTAGGAAAAAAAGTAACAAAAAAATCCCAATTAAACAAGAAGAGTGATTGAGTGGTCACAGTTAAAATCTCAAAATCTGAATTAAAAATTTTACATCTATTACTCAGTTGTAAATGAAACAAAAAATTATAGATAACAACTTACGATTCAATAAAAACTTCACCGATTTCTTTCAAGTTTGACTGTGAATCACCTCCCATGACAACAACATGATGGGGCATATAGTTATCATCTTTGGCATCAACACCAATAAAAAGTTGTCTAAAAACAATGAAAACATTTGAGTAATGTGTAGAATATTGGGTGGATGAATGCGTAAAAAATGCTGCCCGCTCAACTGGCAAAGAACCCACCTGCAGAGGAACAGATTGTGATTTAAAACTCAGCTGCACCAACAGTTAGGTTGAAAACAAATGTGCTGGCTAAAACATGAATGGTGAGTTATAAAACTAGAGTCATGAAACCAAAATATAATGGCTATCTTGAGAATAAGTGACTATTGAAGAAAAATCAAAATAAGAGGGATGAAGTTTCACAATGTTCTTAGAGAATGTTTTGAAACTATCCATCTGCTGAAACAAGGATAAATGGCCTTTGCAAAGTGTAGTTAGTCAAGGTTTGACTATAATTCATACTCCAGAACAAGGAATAAAAATAAAGGTTTCAATTTGATTTGTTCATTTACTAACCTTATAACAGTGCCTGGTCTCATTAAAAGTTTAATCCAATGTCTGCCTTGACTGCCATCTGTTTCCCAGTAAGTATCTGGATCACCATCTGTCAAGGCATCTTTGGATTCTTCTTCCTTCAATTCCACAAAAACACAGCAATATTTTCAGTTTACCTGCATGCTACTACTCTTTTTTAACACTATTTTGTTTTAAAGTTCAAATATTACATTCCAATCACTTAATCTTTATCAGCAACTGTATTCAACTGACTGTTGAGATGACAACTGACTGATGTTATCTCAGGAATAATAGACAGCCAGAAGGTCTAGACCCTTGTTGTGATTCCATGAAGCTTTGTACCTTTTTCATAGTAATGGTCTACCTCACTCACCACTTAATGGCACGATAATCAGTGGTTACTTTAATCATTATGTTGTGTGGGTTGATTATGTGTTTTGCTTTTTTCATTTGTTTGTTTAGTTTTTCGTTGTGTTGTAGTTCTACACTGTTCAAAACCAGCAGCGGATTCTTGAATCACAGACTTTTAGCGCAACATATGAACTCCTTTTGTCCATTAAAAAATTTCCAACATGCATGGAATTACAATGACAGACTTACAGAAGATACTTGAATGGACTCAACATATCTACTGATATTCCCGAGAGATGCCTCATGTTTATTAACATGTTCAGCCATAAATTTGGCTAGCTCTTCATCTGCATCTAGACTCCACTTTAATGGAGGAGAGCTCAGTTGATGCATAGCTTCTTTGTCTGCAAATCTCTCAATGGAGGGTGGGTCAGTAATTCTGAGAGAATAACATATTTCCACTGCATCTTGCCAACTAAAGGGGATATAAAAATATGAAAGATCATCTACACCATTGCCTCTTTAAATTGTATCATTGCATTTTCTATTGTTTCCCTAAGACAGAATTCGATAGGCAGGTGTGTTAGTTGGAATGTAGATAACAGTTAGGTATGTAGGTGGGTGGGTAGGTAGTTATATAGGTAGATAAGTAGGTAGGTAGGTAGGTAAATAGGTAGGAATGTAACTACGTAGGCAGATAGGTGGGTGGGTGGATGGGTGGTTGAGTGAGTAGTTGGATGGATGGGTGGGTAAGTAGAGAGTTAAACATCGCTCACAAAAAATTGGTATAGGTCGGTGGGTGGGTGGTTAGATAGATAAGTGGGTAGGTAGGTAAGAAGGAGGGTAGGAAGTAACTAAGTAGGCAATGGTGTACAAGCCCATTTGAGTCAAAAAGATGCTTGTGTAGCCCGTTCCAGACTTTCAGCTAGTGAAAAGTGGCACGCAAAAAACGAAAACGAGGGAGGTAGAGAGAAGAGAGAGATGGACGAGAGGAAACGTCACTCTCCCCAGTCCCACCAGTATTTTTCCTCACTTTTTTGACTTTCTGCCACTTCTTACTATCTGAATGCCTGAAACAGTCTAGGGCTTGTTGTTTTTAGTAGTAAATGGTATCAAAAATTATTACTTCTCCCCCTAAACAGGATGCCCGTCTGTCAATGGTTCCACAGATAGTCTGCATACAGACATCCAGCATCTATCGTCCAGATTCAAAGTCCAATATTATTTTAATAACATTAATAACAGACAATTGTATCAGAAAGGATTGGTAGCTAGATCTGCAACAGCAACCAGCCTGTATCGTGTCAATGCTCTCTATAATAAGGCCTCTCTGAATTATAGTTACTGCAGTTATGTAAATACTTTACCATTTAACTGCTATATTTTTTTCTTTGGACGATGGCTTGACATCTATAGGTTTTAAATAAGGAGCACCTACGCCATGTTTTGCATCATAAGGTACAGAAAGAACCCAGCCGTCTTTGGCTTGTTTACCCGAACAGTACTTCTGCAAAGATTTCTGCAGACATAAAAAACAGTACTTGCAAAAAGGAATTATTAAAACATGTTCCGTATTATAATTATATTGAATGGCCTGGATACAAAAAGGACAAGGTTAAAACTACAATAATATTCTATACTATTGAGCTTTTTAATCAATTCCGGGGTACATAATAATATAAGCTAATAACCACTCCCATACCTGACAAAGTTTTATCCAAGACCCATCATTGTTAAAAAATTCATCTCCTGATGCAAACACCTGAAGATTAGAGGCAGAAGGTAGTTCTCCCACGCACTGTGCGTCTTTGTGTGGCTTCTTCCGTATGGACAATGTCGAAGGATTCCTGCTTTCTTCTCTACCGTACTCCACTTCCGACGAGACAAAACAGAGCGGTAATGGTAAGCTCTTTCCTTGTTCAATGCGCTTTATACTCTCTAGAAGACACCTTATACGGGCAAGGCGTCTTCTAGCTGGTTCATTCTTCATTCTTTGCAAATTTAAAGAGGGAAGAGTATCTTTTATATACGTGAATAAGCGGCCATTTTTGTTAAGGTAACAAGATGGCGCGACTGCTAGGTAACCAAACCACAGGACAAGACGAAGAAGGCTGGGTCAAGTTTCCTCGGTAAATTGGGTCGGGGAATGGTGGGGGTGGAGAGGAAGGGGAAGAAAAATGCGCTCGAAAGGGAAAAGTTAGGGTTAGGTTTGGGTTAGGGTTAGGGTTAGGGTTCGGCGCCCGCCATGCTACGTAGTATTGAGAAACGTCATTTAGGTTTGATCGTGTTATTCAACTTTGACTCAGAAATCGCTACAACACTGTCGCTAAAAGTTCGGTAACTCATTTGAGAAGCATTTACCAGCTAGTTGTGTTCAGATACCTCGGACCCCCCTTCTTGAAAAAGGGCCATCTACAGTTTCAGAGGGGGGTACATTGGCCCTAATCGGGCAATTTCTACGATTGCAAACCCCGTTAGTTTTTTAATGCAAAGAATGACAAAAAAAGACATACGAATAAGATGAATGAGTTTAATACCGAAGCAGACACTAAATCAAAAGTTACATTATCAAGCTAAGGCCATAAAAAGCCGTAATAGTAAATTTAAGTACGTAAAGCTTACACACAGCGATATCAAAAAAAATCATTCAGCTGTTCAATTTACTTGAGTGAAAAGCTTCCTTTCTCGATCCTTTCCTTTCACATTTCCGCAAATAGCATCGAAATTATTCGTTTTATAAAGCTGCGAGGCTATAAGTTGGAGCTGTATTTCAACAAGGACACTGGTTTTCCAACTTAGTTTCTGGGTAGTACTTGGTGTAAGACTGCCCAAACCCTAGTTTCCATCCAGGTTGGCATCGGAGTGCTGTTGCGCATGCGCACATTAAACGTTTATTGCGTGGGAAGAGCAAGCAGGAGGGGCTGGGGTGTCGCATTTCCAGGGTTTAAAGTCTTTGATCTTGTCCAGTGTTGTTGGGTTCTTGATCCACTCTAGACCCTGGGAAACTGTCACAATCCACACATCGCCCATGGCGGTCAATTTCCTGAGGAAGTCCTCGGTTGCTTTCGTATAAACGAATTAAAAAAATCAGTTTCTACCTTAAAGTAATCAAAATGATAAATTGTGAAAAAAAAAAAAGTTTCGTCAACTCGGAAACTCTTTGAAATAATGTATGATAACATGCCAACAAGTGAAAGTTATAATCACCTGAACATCATTATTACCGATTTAGTGGTGAATTTGGAAAATGAAGAGAAATATGAATAAAACTAAGAACATAGCGGGTAAATTCGCACTTAGAAAAGATAGACAGCGTCCCGGGGTGGAGGACTCCGCATATGAAAGGGGTGGGGATGCTCGTCGGAAATTTTGAATTAAACCCTAAAGGAGACCGATCTGTGCGTGGCCCAAGCTTTTTTTGACCCCTAAAAGAGACCATGTTAAGACACAGACAATATATATATTTTTATATTTTTTCACGTGCAACCCTAAACGAGACCTACATGGCTAAATATGACGGCGTTTTGCCCAGAACACCCGAGGTGAGACCAAAATCCGAAATTTACACCCCTAAGCGAGACGACGAGCATCCCACCCCTTTCATATGCGGAGTCCCTCCCCCGGGGACAGCATTTGCCAAATGGATAATAATTTCCTTCAGAAGTAGTCGTTTTTTGGCTATTCGACACTCAGCTCTTCTTGTCTCCTCTTTTGGAAAGAAGCCTTGCACACTTACAAGACAAATGACTGCTGCGTGTAAGAGTTCATTTGACTCTCTTTATAAGACAAGACAAGACAAGACAAGACAAGACAAGAACTTTGTTTATACTACACACAGAAGAAAAACTTTTAAAAAAGACAATACTACTTATGTAAGGTACAGGCCACCTAGAAAAAAGCTAAAAAGCTAAATCTAGCTAGGAGGCATTATAGATTAATTCAGAATATCAAAGAGACTGTTTTATGGAGACACAATTACAAAACAAGTCGGAAGTCAGAGAAACACTTCCGCCCCCAGTATTTACAATCTTATGAAACCGTTATGTTTAGAACTAACCTTCACGGCGATAGAAATCACCAAGCCATTCTGCTGACAGAGGCATGAAGAATGGAGCCTTGTTTGTCTTGTAATGTAGCTGGAAATTGGAATCAAGCAGGTCCCTGAAAGGTCTGTACGCCAGATAATTTGGTGCGCAAGAGTCAATAAGATGACAAGAAATTCCTTTTTCATTGAAGTAATCCACCATGGGTACTTCCCACAAACCCGGAAAAGATTCTAAAGAGAGACAGAAAACAAAATTCATATTTAAAGATAGCTATAGATAAGACGAAAAGGGACGAAGGAACCTATACAATAAGATACATTATTATTAAGGGATGTCATGGACTTACGAGTTTTCGTCGTAACTTCTACTTATCGTCTTAGCTTATACATCGTGTAGCAAGGACTTGCACATGCGGTGTGGCGTGCCCCAAGGATCTGTGCTGGCGCCTATATTGTATGTATTGTACACGTCCCCGCTTGGCGACATTGTCAGAAGTCATGGCCTATCATGTCATTGAATTTCTACGCTGATGACACCCAGCTTTACTGGTCATTCAAGCTTCACGATCAAGCGCCTTCAATGCAAGCAATTGAGTCTTGTTTAAATGATATTGATGCATGGATGCTTGCAAACATGTTAAAGCTGAACAGGGATAAAACTGAGCTCCTAGTGATCGAACCAAAGCACAAAGTCAACCCACCTATTAAGGGTATTCATGTGGCTGTCGTGGCTGGTGA